TGCCACTAAATTTAATAAATTTGTCAAAGTGATGAAAGTCTGTGGTGTCATCAAAAAATAAGTCTGTAGTGGAGTAAAAAACTACAACAAAATAAATATCTGTCATAACTTGTTAAATTAAGTCTGTGAGAGATAAAAAATCTGTCATAGAAAATCTGTCGTTGATAAATAAGTCTGCCATTGAAAATAAACCTGTCATAACGAATCCAGCAGATTTTTAAAAAACCAAAAAAATTTCCTAAGTTTTTTTCTCACGTTTTTCGAAAAAATTTGAAGGCAAATTTGACTTTTTTTTTTCCTAACAAAGAGAGAAAGTGTATTATCGTCATGAAAATAACCTATCTAATCCCCTAATTTGATGAGACATTCTAGTAATTAAAGTGATTATTTGGGTCCTAGTAATTTTCCCTAAACTGAAAAAGTAAACAATTATGTCTTTAGAATATATCTGAGACGGGATGTTAATTTTAAAGTGTAGTTTCAAACTAATTAATAATGAAAGTAAATTAGCTCCAGGCGGCTACCATTCACAATCATATTAAACTATAGATTACTTAAATAAATATCATTGTAATTTTTTTTTCAACAAATATCATTGTAATTTTTAATTATCTGTTCATACTAATTCCTTCGAAGTATTTTCACGGTCACGCCGACACTTTGTTTGATATCCCCGTGAACTCCTCTTTTTTTTTGGGGGGAAAGAACTCTTTTTTTGTTTGTCTTTCTTTAATACTAATATTGTATGATTCTAATAATGTTAGTGTATCAACTCATTATATAGTATATACATACATACCCCAATACAAGACAATAAGTACATCTCTTTGATTTCTTATGCGAATTCATTTATGTCTACTACGAACCAACTAGAATTACCATTCATCATTATGACCACCAATTGGCCATAACAATTGCTTAACATCTCTAGGTTTTAGAAAATGAAACATTTCCTTAAGATTTTTGTTTATTTTTTTACTACAAGAAAAGACAAAAACGGAAAGAAAAATGTCATTTAAATCGTTACTTTGCCATTTGTGGAGGTTTAAAGCATGAACTTTGAGTCTGGTGCTTTTAATCCTCAATTTCTAGTTGACTTTCAATTTAATCTCTAACTTTCGTTGACGATGCCGATTGAGGCACGTCTTTAACTGGACAAACGGAGGATTAAGACGCTGTTATATGTCCGTCTAATATATCCGTTAATAAGCTAAACGACGTCGTTTAATCAAATGAAAACCCCCAAATTCGATTAAGCTCGAACCCTAGAATACCAAATCGAAATTAGAAATACAAAATCGAAGATTCTCTCTCGTTTTCTTCTCTAATCACGATTTCAAGATAGCTGTGTTGAGTTTCCGATGTCAAGATCCTTACACCTAACCCACACACACACACTTTGAAGGCACTCCACGGGCAGCGAGTACTATCGATGTCTCAGAGCTAGAACTCATCGGAATCGAGATAACAGATCTTGAGGAATAAAGATGAGATCGAGATTTGAGAAGAAATCGAGATTAGAGAAGAAAACGAGAGAGAATCTTCGATTTTGTATTTCAAATTTCGATTTGGTATTCTAGAGTTCGAGCTTAATCGAATTTGGGAGTTTTCATTTGATTAAACGACGTCGTTTCGCTTATTAACGGATATATTAGACGGACAGATAACAGCGTCTTAATCCTCCGTTTGTCCAGTTAAAGACGTGCCTCAATCGGCTTCGTCAACGAAAGTTAGAGATTAAATTGAAAGTCACCTAGAAATTGAGGATTAAAAACACCAGGCTCAAAGTTCATGCTTTAAACCTCCACAAATGGCAAAGTGACGATTTAAATGACATTTTTCTCGATTTTGACTTGAAAACAACGTGAATTTTGTGAATTTGAGTAACCGATACACACAAAGACAGAGCTGAGCTGTTGTTAATTCCCTGAAAAGCTGAACTCTTGGCTTCATGTTTTATCGACGTCACCATACATTTATTTCCCTCATAGACCCACTTCTCTCCCCAAAATAAATACAATTAGAGAAAGCATTAAACCCACCCACCAAAAACCATTAAATAATTAAGAAGAAAATGTTTATTAATAAGACCAAAAAAAAAAGAAATTATACACGACTAAAAAAAACAAGAGGAAGAAGAAACATCACCATCAGTCCATCACAATCACATCACTATTTCAAATCTTTCCTTATTCACAACCCAAAAAAACTCAAAACCATTCTTCATTTCACCGACACTTTCTTCTCCACCATGGATGATCTCTCCAAGCTCCTCTTCTTCCTCCTCCTCACTACCATTACAACCGCATTATCCGATAAACCCGGGTCGGGTCAAATAAACTCCAACTCCGTCCTCGTGGCTCTTCTTGACTCACACTACACAGAACTAGCAGAGCTCGTAGAAAAAGCTCTTCTTCTCCAAACCTTAGAAGAAGCTGTTGGTCAACACAACATCACAATCTTTGCTCCTCGTAACGATGCCTTAGAAAAAAATCTTGATCCTGAATTCAAATCTTTCTTGCTCCAACCAAAAAACCTCAAATCATTACAATCGTTATTGATGTTTCACATTCTTCCCAAAAGAATCACTTCTCCTCAATTCTCCTCCGCCGTCGTCAGCCACCGTACTCTCTCCAACGACCACCTCCATTTCACCAACGGAAAAGTCAACTCCGCTGAGATTACCAAACCCGATGATTTAACCCGACCCGACGGAATCATCCACGGAATCGAACGTCTTTTAATCCCACGTTCTGTTCAAGAAGATTTCAACCGCCGTCGTAGTCTCCGTTCAATCGCCGCCGTGTTACCGGAAGGAGCACCGGAGGTTGATCCAAGAACTCACCGTCTCAAGAAAAAGCCAGCACCAATTCCCGCCGGAGCTCCACCGGTTCTCCCGGTTTACGACGCAATGTCACCCGGTCCGTCACTAGCTCCGGCTCCGGCACCGGGACCGGGTGGACCTCGCCACCATTTCAACGGAGAGGCTCAAGTTAAAGATTTCATCCACACGCTTCTTCATTACGGTGGCTACAATGAAATGGCAGACATTCTCGTTAATCTCACTTCTCTAGCCACAGAGATGGGTCGGCTCGTGTCGGAAGGTTACGTTTTAACCGTTTTAGCTCCAAACGACGAAGCTATGGCTAAGTTGACCACGGACCAATTGAGCGAACCGGGAGCTCCAGAGCAAATTGTGTATTACCACATCATACCGGAATACCAAACCGAAGAGAGTATGTACAATTCTGTACGCCGGTTTGGGAAAGTCCGGTATGATTCACTACGGTTTCCTCATAAAGTAGAGGCTCAGGAGGCAGATGGTTCGGTTAAGTTCGGTCATGGTGATGGTTCGGCTTATTTGTTCGATCCTGATATTTATACCGATGGACGGATTTCGGTTCAAGGGATTGATGGAGTTTTGTTTCCGGAGGAAAAAAATCCGGTCGAGAAGAAAACCGCCGCTCCAGTCGTCAAGAAAGCCGCCAAACCAAGAAGAGGTAATCAATTTTTAATAAATCTTTAGTCTCTTAAACTTTGTCCTAACCTATTTGATCGAGACATTTTAACCCCAAATTATATAATTTTGAACAAATACATACTACTATTACAGAAAATAATTAAGTTTTGTTATAAACATTATTAAAAAGTTATAAAGTTACCTGCTTAGGGAATTTCTTATTTTCTATGATTTTGTCATATTAAATGGATAATAAATCATTGTTATAGAAAGGTAATAGTGATTAGTCATTACCTCATTATACAATTAGTCTTTCAACGAGAGAGTACTAACTACTAAGTGTAAACAAGTGAGAATTGACATAAAGTACAAACGTGTGAGAATGGAGACAAGGTCTCTCTAACAAACTTTGTTATGATATATTATTTTTCAACAATATTATATAAAATTTTGGAGATAATTAGGATTTATAACTATTTAATGATCCACCGACGAAAGAATCCCATGTTAAAGTGAATGAAAATCACAAAGTGTTCCTTTTTTCTTTGTTTTTTTCTAAAGCCGAGTTATGAGTCATATTGGTTAATAAAGAGAATAACTTTTTTCTTTTTTTTTTCTAAATATATTTCTTTGAGCATCAGTTAGAAACAATCATTTTAATAGTCCTTCCTTGTATGGTTAATTCAGCTCACTGACAAAATAAAAACAAAACCGTTTGGAAAATTAATAACTTCTAATTGATTTTTTAATATGTTGCAGGTAAATTGATGGAAGTAGCATGTACAATGCTGGGATCACAATTTTCAACATGTCAATGAGATTTCACACGCGACCAAATTAAATCCAGACATGAGAATTTTATAATTCTGTAAACATGTGATAAAATTGTGAACAGAACAAAAAAGAAAAGAAATAATGTTGTAAATGATTATTTTTTTGGGTTCGTTGCAATAAGAATGTTAGAGCATTTCCAATAGTGCATCTTAGAGCATCATTAACGGTGGTATACTATGAGATTTCTTAAAAGACATATCTTAGCTTAATATCTTAGGTTTAAACAATAAAAATTAAGGTGGTGTTATTCAATAATGGATTTTAATAGAATTGAAATCCAACACTAATCCAGTGTTATTCAACTAATGATTATAAATCTAACGTTAAAATCTGGTGTTATTAGATCTTATACTTCATTAGATTTTAAAAGTTTGGTGTTATTCAATGGTGGAGTTAAAGTCAATTAAGATTTGTAAAATCCAGTGTTATTCAAAACTAAAAGACTTGTAAAATCTTTGTATATTAAGTCATTTCAAATGAATCCTCTTTGGAGTTTCATGAGTAAATTATTAGAATCAAAATCCAAGATATACTGCAGAGATTTTGAAATCCACACAAACAGATTCTTAAAACCAATATCAGAAAACAAATCTAAACCTTAAAGAATTGACTTTAACTCCACCATTGAATAACAACCCCTAAATCAAAAATGAGTAAATAGCTAAGATTTGCTAAGATTCAAATATTAGCTAAGATGTTTTTTGAGGGTTAAGACGCGATGACGTGTCGGTGGCTGAGTGGTCGAAAATAAAGACAAAACAAAAACAAAAAATTCACGCCTGTTTTTTTTTTGTTTTTCCATTTGGTTGTGTCTCTCTCTCTTTCTCTTTCTCTTCTCGACATTTTCTTCAAACTGCGAAATCTCTTCAAAGGTGGAGACCATCGGCGACGGCGAGGGTTCACCAAATCAGACATTTTGGTTATAGGATGCTCCAATCTACTTCCCATGGTACACATCTCTCTGTTTTCGATTGTTTTCCATGTTGAATTCGGGTTTAATTATATGTGGTGTCAAAATTAGGGTTTTCTGAAATTGGGATTCGATGTTAGCAAAATTAGGGTTCTTAGAAATTGGGATTCGATGTTATTAGCAAAAAGTTAGGGGTTTATGATGTTGTCAGATTGGGGATTGATAATTGATCCGTTTGATGTGTTGAATACTTTTTTTTGATGAGTTTGGTCGATTGGATCTGTTTCTCTGTTTTTTGGTTCATTTGATGTTAGCAGATTTGGAATTGGGAATTGATGTGTTTGTCTCCATTAACAATGGTAGATTGATTCGTTTTAACCTTGAATTTGATCCGTTTTTGATAAGTTGTTTGGTTGAATTTGATATGTTTCATGATTTAGAGATACTAACATGTTGTCAAACTAATAATTTCCTATTTCTTTTCACTGTCATAAGTTAATGCTTTCTTTTGTTTCATGTGTCATAAGTTAGTCTTCTTTTTTGTTTCTATTATTGGATCAATGTAATGCTTGAACTTTCAGTCTTTAAAATGATTGAATTTGGTAACTTTGTGTTTTTTCAAAACTGAACTACTTGTGAATGGCAAAACAGATTCAGTTATTAGCTTTGAGTTTAACTTTGATAGCTTGGAGTCTTTCTTTTTTATAGTTATGGTAATGAGAATTTTGATATGGTGACATTTGATGAATCATGCCAGTGGAGAGGACTTTTCTATGGAACAGATTGATAGTTATGGTAATGAAACCGTGTGTGGTGCACTCAAGGTATTGACTGCAATGGTTATCTGTTGTAATGTGTTTTATTGAGCAAATGATAATACTAGCAATTCTTTAAATTCATATTTCATCTCTCTCTGTAACATCTTCTCCTTTGTGACATTCAAATGCAAATGCTGTAATGTGTTTTATTGATGGTTGCTTGTATTGTAAGACATTGTTTTGCAACAATTTGAATTATTTTTTCTTAAGAATCATTTGCTTCTTAACCATTGGAGTAGAAATTAGTTAAGATACTCTCTAACTTTTCTTAACTTTGAAAAAGCAAAATTTTAATTTAAAATAAAATAAGGTTAAGATCCAAAGTTAAGAACCAACCATTGGAGATGCTCTTAAACCTCGTAGTTTTAGTTTTTGAACATAATTACCCAAACCAGATTGGATAACTCTTTTCTTTATAACTGGTTCCAACCGAATTAAACTTTGATTCGGTCCATATGCGTCCAGCATTAGCTTATACATATCTCCTCAAGGATTGATTAAAATGTAATTACTAAGCTAATGTTGGATTGATTCGGTCCATATATGTGAATAGGGGCCGTGATACTTGGGTTTAAGCTGGGTTTGGGCCGTACGCATCTCAATTTTGGGTTAAAGTTGATTTATGTTTTTTAATTTTTTATTGCGTGAAAAAGGGGTTACACTGCAATTCCTTTGGTTCTTAGGATTGAGTTGAGTTCAGTTCTGTTTTCTATAAAGTACATGCTTAGGTTGAGTTACAACAAAAAGGGACAAAACATTGGAACAAAAGTGTAGTTATGGGATTGTTTATTCGTCTTGCCGTCGTGAAAAGGTTGAGGAAGAAGGTAGAAGGACGATGCAGAAGGAGAAGAAGAGTCATCGTGAAGGCCGGTTCGAGATCAGCTACCTTTAAGGAGATCCCCGAGGATGTTTTGATGGAGATTCTGGCGAGATTACCTGCAAATTCAGTGACGAGGTTCAAGTGCGTGTCAAAGCACTGGTCTTCTCTCATCTCCTCTCGATATTTTACCAACCTTTTCTTCGAAGTGTCATCTCCGAAGCGAGAACCACGTCCGTTCATGTTTTTGTCAGACAAGGGACACCAATATGCGTTGCTCTCTACTAATAATAGTTTTGAAGTGGACTCTGTTCCTTATCTAAACCAAGATCTGACCTTGCCGGGAATGGGAGGCTACTTTGTAAACTCACTTCGTGGCTTGATGTGTTTCAGAGTTGGACGAGAGGTACGGATCTGTAACCTCACCACTAAGCAGCTTGTGAACTTGCCCAAAGTGAAATCCAACTTGTTGGATGAAGTTGAAGGAGATTTCCATATGTGGAACTATTTTGGGCACGACTCTGTTAATGATGAATACAAAGTGCTTAGCATAGTGTGGGAGGTGAGCAAGGAAGAAAGAGTAGTGAGATCCGAGCATCAGGTGTTTGTACTTGGTTCTGGAGCTTCATGGCGAGGTACTCACAGTACCATTCATCCTCCTCCCCATCGTCCTTACTCACAAGGTATCTCCATCAACGGTGTCTTGTATTATGGAGCTCGGGTTCATAAGAATAAATGTGTGCTCATGAGTTTTGACTTGATTACTGAGGAGTTTAATTTGATTGAATTACCCATCGAGGCTTGCATCGTCGGGAATACCCGTTGCGCTAATCTCATGATCTACAGAGGTAAAGTAGCTGTTTTTGAGTACTCCCGTCTCATGACTGAATGTATTCTAGACCTCTGGGTGGTTGAGGATGCAAGGGAGAGTGAATGGTCGCATAAGGCTTTTGTTTTACCTAGTCACCAGCTTATGCAGAGCCTCCGTTTTGATGAGTTGTTGATGCACAATACCAGTCGCAGCGGAGAGCTCAGGTTGTCTGAGGGAAGCTTTGATAAAACTAAAGTATCAATGCATGTTATTTACGATTTGGATAAGAATCGTGTAACACGAGGGGTTGTTATAGGGTCATTATACCCCAGGTTCTCTGGAACCGGTTTTTCGCATACCACTCTTTGGGATGATGTTGAGAGCATCATGTGTTTGAAAACCTTAAACTAATTTCAGCTTCTTCTTTTTGTTTGTTTATCTTTCTTGAAACTATATAAATACTCTCTCTTCAACATAATAAGCACACAGCTAATTGTTATGTGTTCAAGCTGATGTCTTTAGATATCTCAAACCAAAAACTGTAATCCCTTTTGTCTCTGGTTATCTTCTACGAATTATTCATGCAAGTGGAATAAAATCTTTGTCATTGCATTCAGTCATTGGAAGCCTCTGTTTGCCTTCTTTTTGGTCTAACTTTGGTGCCCAATAGTCAAGCTTTAAAAGGCTCAGTTCTATTTACTGGTTATGCGCAAGACGCAACACGCTGGACCAAAAGGTTGTGGCATTACAGGTAGTGTTCTGGATAAATCTGAGAGAAATCAAGTCGTATCTTTGTAGAAAAAGAAAAGTTTTCTTGAAATTCCATGGCATTTGTGAACTTTTGCCTGCAAAATTTACTGAGCAAATCAATTCTTATCATGTGCTATGCAGTTCATGAGGTAACTTCTATAGGAATATCATCTTCTGTCACTCTCCTTTTGCTTGTTTCTCTTGTTCTTTTATGCTGCACATATTCATTCCATTGGGGTGAAGAGAAAAAAGGACCAAGAAGAAAGACATAACGTCCCAAATATTTGATATCTTATCATAGAAGGTGATGAATCATTACTGATGATAGTGTTTTTATAATCTTAGTGGTGTATTATTTGTGTCACTAGAGTTTTGAAATTAGTCTTATTTTGGTTTGGAGATGGATGATTGGAGTTAGTTTCAGCTGGTTTGGTTTTTGGGCAATTGCATGAGATGTTTTGTTATCATTTTGCCTATTTCAGATGATACTTGTGACTTGATTCTTGTAGGCCTTTGGGATATCGAATGTCTTATTGCCTCCTTCTGCATCTCAGGTAGAGCTTTTCTTCGTAGTTGCCGTATTTTGGGCATTCTCTCCGGTATTCACAATGATTTTACTTTTACATTTCCTCAAGAGAGAGCAATGCTGAGCAAGAAATGATAGTCAAATATGTAGATTAAATACACATAATGTATTTTGTGGCTAGAACCAGAATATAAATGGTTTTACATTTTTGTGATTAAGGACACTGGTGATTCTCATAACAGTTTCACATTAATCTTTCAAATAAATTTTCATAACAGTTCCATTTTTCGGTAAGGTTTTATAATTATCTTCGTGTGAAATGCCTTTAAAAATGATTTTATAAATTTTTAGAAAAAACTTTCCACACAAATCGTTGAGAAGAAAATCTATCTTATCCACTCGCTCTTTCTCATCCCAGAAGTCCCACAAACCCGTTTTGAAAAATGTCGTCAGCTTCTTGTTCCTCCGCCGTGGCGGTATCCGCCGCAGCCACCGCTTCCTCCACCGCTACCTTTAATCCATTACTCTTTTCCCACTCCAACTTCCGGCTCTTCTATCGCTTCACACCAAAATCTTTCAAACTCGTTGCTAATTGCCCTAATCCACTGATCCTCCATTCAAATATCCGTCGCCACCGCTTCTTCTGCGCCGCCGAAACCGAAGCTAGTTCTGCCGATGAAGAAATCCAGGCATCACTAGAAGAAGAAGAAGAAGTAGAAGAAGAAGAAGAAGAAGAAGTAGAGGAAGAAGACGCAGATGAAAAACAGACGACACAAGCGAGTGGTGAAGAAGGGAGGCTTTACGTTGGTAATTTACCTTACACAATCACTTCCTCTGAGCTCTCTCAGCTTTTTGGAGAAGCTGGCAATGTCGTCGATGTTCAGGTTCATTCTCTTAACCTTCATGAGATTCTAACAATCGATTTGGAGAGAGTTAAGCAAAATAAGGCTGAAGATTGTCTAATTGTTGCAGATTGTTTATGATAAAGTTACTGATAGAAGCAGAGGATTTGGATTTGTAACCATGGGAACCATTGAAGAAGCTAAGGAAGCGATTCAGATGTTTAACAGCTCTGTAAGTTTACATCATTGATCAACGATGAGTCAGTTTCAGAATGTTTCTCATCTCTTGTGTGTGTATGTTGAGTTTGTAGCAAATTGGTGGTAGAACGGTGAAAGTGAACCTCCCGGAGGTGCCGAGAGGTGGAGAAAGAGAAGTAATGAGAACCAAAATCCGTGATAATAACCGAAGTTATGTTGATAGTCCTCATAAGATATATGCAGGAAACCTTGGTTGGAATCTAACTTCACAAGGTCTAAAAGATGCATTTGGTGATCAACCTGGTGTGCTTGGTGCTAAAGTTATCTATGAAAGAAATACTGGGAGGTCTCGGGGATTTGGTTTCATCTCTTTTGAGTCAGCGGAAGATGTTCAGTCTGCTTTGGCTACCATGAATGGCGTGGTAAGGCTTCTTCTCCCTCCTTGTTTGGTTGGTTGATTTGGGTTTAAGACTCGCTAGTTTTGGTTTTTAGGAAGTTGAAGGACGAGCGCTGAGGCTAAATTTGGCTTCAGAGAGAGAGAGACCCACTGTGTCTCCTCCGTCTGTAGAAGAAGGAGAAACCAAAGATGTCAGTCTAGAGAGTAGCGAGGTGCTTTCGAATGTTAGTACATGAAGAAAGCAATGGCACAATAGATTCCAGTTTCAGACTGATCAGCTCGAGGGCCAGAAATGAAAATTTTGTTGTCTTTATAAATGTGTTGTTGTATTCTACTGAGGCTGAAGAAGAAGACAAGATATGAGATAGAAAACAAGAGATTGTTTGTAATTTTTATTGAGAATGCTTTTAATCCATAAATGGTGTAATGTAACATATCTTGATTCCGATAAACGCGAATTTATGTCATGATTACCGGCTGCTAGTCGGTCTCGTGGTGACCAGAAAGCAGAGCATCTGCAGCAGAATCCAAGTCCTGAGGGAAGAAAACTCTGCAGATATAGAAACAATCCATCAGGACAAAACCTTTACATAAGAACAGTTCTTGGATCTCCTCTTTAAATGTCATTTTCTGTGACTGATCTAGAAATGATGTAAAACCGACATGAAGAGAAAACATGCCTGCAAGTGTTGTGGTACAAGGTTGAGCTAACTTGATTTATATCACCAAGTCCTTTATAGCCAGCTACCACCTCAAGAACTTGCCTGGAGAACAAAAAGGTTGTCTAAGAAGCGTTCCAAAGACAGTATACTGTACATGTTTGGATTTGGCAAGGGTTTCTCAAAGCTAGACTCACCGAACTAAACAAGGCTCGTTTCGGCCTTTGACAAGGGATTCTTGATCATACTTCTCTTTTTTCTTGGAAGGCCAAGTCGACTTTACAAACTTGATTCCAGCGTGTGTGTTCTTGATATCACAATATGGAGAGTCGGTTTCGATCATCATCCTCTCTATCGGTATTCCTTTCATTACATCAAGATTCTCAGCTGTTTTCAACGAGCAGCCGTTCACACCTGCAAAATAGAATCACATCAGCAAAACAAAAGACCAGAACACTAATTCAAGATTTCAAGGTATTCTTAACAAATAGTGGAAGTTTTTACCAAGGTACATTTTATCGAAAGAGAGAAGCTTATCGCGGTCCAATGCACTACCAGTAAATGAATGAGCAACTCCTCCAGGGAACCTGATAGTGAATCATGGACAATCGATTAAGATGACTAAAAAAGCAATCCAGGAAGTTTATCTAAATCCAACTCGAGAAAACATTAGGCTGCATGTTCACCTATTCTTGTTTCTCTCAACAATTTCACAGAAATCTTCAGCAGCTGCTCGCATGTGTAGAAACATTGGCAACTTTGTAGCATATGCTAGTTCGAATTGCTTCTCAAAGTACCTTTCTCAACAAAGAAAACATATGAAGATAATGTAAATAGAGAAAGAAAAGAAAACAATATAAACATGCGAAAATACAATTTTTATGATCAAACTTACTTCTTCTGGATATCAACTGGACAGAATTGAAGCCTATCATAATCCAATCCACATTCACCAATTGCTACCACCTTAATTAATCATAACGAACAAGAGTGTTCCGTGAATGGTTTTGATTGCGATCAACACGAAAGCGATATGAAACCTACATCAATTCAAAGTATCTACTAGAGCAGAAGAAATAGTACCTTCCCTTTCTGCATTCCTTCTTTGGCCAATGAAAAAAGAGCCTGATAATGCTTTTCTGGATCACCAGTCTCTTCAAACTCCTGATTGATAAACACAAAAATGACATTAAAGAACAATCCAAACAGAAGACTATAATTTAGATTTCAAGAAACTCGAGAGAATTTAAAGCAAAAAACTGACATTGCATCTAGTTGGATGAACACCAACAGTGCAAAACAGCCTACCTGCAAAAATGTACAATCACTAATCAAAAACTTTAAAAGACTAAAACTTTCTGAGAAAAAAGATCTGTAAAACAAACAAACCATCAGTTTCTGCAATTGCAAGAGCTTCCCTTGATTCTTCCAATGACCCACCAGTTACCTGTTCAAGAAAATTGGAATCTGAATTACTCAAATTCTGTCATTTGTAATCATTCAAACAAAAAGAATCGATAAGAGTGACTCAACTATGATTCTATCGACTCCAGCAGACCAAGCCCGGTTCAAGACAGTGGCAATATCGGGAACATGACACTTCTTCCCATGGTAAAGTCCCTTGAACATCCCATCTGTTTTAAGTAGACAAAAATCATTTGATCAGAGAAGGATATGTTCACAAAGTGTTTGTGGAAATGCCTCAACTAACCTGTGAAGTTAACTGCTATGTCTGATCTTTAAACAAACACATCAGAAGAAACACATCAGATAGGTTACATAGAATCTTTGTACATTAGAAAGAAGAGAATCAATCGAGGAGTAATTCACAAATTTTGGCTTGCCTATCATTTTCAACGACGCCATTACCGAGAGAAAGTGAAACAATGGCACACAACACAACAAAACTTTTTTCTCCTTGCGCTGGATTTTGTATTATCATCAATGGACAATGGGCTTTTCCCACGGCCCAGTTATTTAAGTCAATATTGTCTGATATCAAAGACGGTCAAATTAAGCTGATTGTCAAATAATCCAAATGAAATTCATGGAGAATTTCGTTCTTGCGTTTCGTAATGAAACAAATAAATGTGATGCTCGCATTATATATACACAGAGTTTAACCAACCAAAACATTACAAAAAGATTAAAGATAAAAATTAAAAAAAAAAACAATTTCCAAAACATAGATATGCTCATGCATAGACCAAGGGAACCTCAAAAAAAAAAAAGATTTAGCGAAGTAGCCGGCGGTTCACAGTCGGAGGTGGCGGTGACTGAGCTTGAACCGGAGTAGCTTGACGGGGGGAACCTCCACCTCCACCACCATTACTCTCCCAAGGCTTAACAGTGAACAACACAACTAAAACCACAATAATGAGCAATAGCAAAATGGCGAAGCAAGTCCACTTCCGTGTGTTCTTCTGATAAAACCGTGCCTTAACAAGCCGGTCGGCACCAGACCGAACAAGCGAGTTAGCTCGTTTGACGTTGCCTTCAATGTCGTCAAGCTGTGCACCCTGATGCTCAACCAACACAGCCATATCAAGAAACACTTGGTGCAACTCATTCAAGCTCTTCTCAATGTCTTTAACTGCGTCGTGCCTCTCTTGTATCTCGTTGATAGTGTCCAAAATCCTACCACGACCTTGTTCTTGTATCGCTTTCTGCAAAAATGTTTCACTTTCACCTACAATACAATTCCAATTTATATCATCAATATCATGATTTAACCATAATCAATCGCAATTACTATAAACCAATTATTTCTTATAACTAATTTTTTAGTTAACAACTTGCGCTATTTTCTTGCTCTTTAACGTTTAGAATTTGAATTTTGAAATTAACCAACAAATATATTTTAAGAAAGAATTGGAGAAAAAATAATCACCTGTGGAGATGAGACGATCGACGGTAGCTTCGTCGGGATATTCACCGGTGACGGTGAAGTACCTTCTCCCAATCGTCTCTTTGTACTCCTCCGTGATTGTCTCTCTCACTCGATTAAAATTTTCCATGTCATCTTTTAGCTTCTTCCTCAAACCGTTAACCACCGAAATCCTTTGGCGGTCCGACGACGAACCCGGTCCACTTTCCGGTAAACTCCGGTTGACTTCATTAGCCCGATCTAAAGCCTCGAGGTTCCCTTGCACGCGCCTCGCGGTCTTGAGCGCCGCCGTCACGTCAGTTTCCATCTTCTCCATCAGCTCTTTCACCGCCATAGCGTTATGAAGCGTCTTGCTCTGTTCGTGGCTCGATTGGAGATTGCGACGGAGACGATCAAGCTCTTTAAGGTCTTCGTTCACCACCTCCACGTCGAGATAGAACTTGTCGAGGTTGTTACCACCTTTGCAACTTCCGCCGGAGAATTTCGCTTTTGGCATCTCGATGTTGTGTGAGTGCGGTGGCGATGAATCGTCCGCGACGGAGCGGTTAAACGAGCGGGAGAGAAGATCGTTCATGGCTTAAGAGATACGAGAGATCTTCGATTTTGAAAGTTCAAAGGAATTGAGAGAAAAAAAAAGATCTTTGATCAAAATCTGTTTGTTACAATTGTATTTATATTGACGAGTCAAACCGAAAAAAAAAAGGAAAAAAAATTAACATTAAATCGGGAAAAAAAGGAAAGGAAAAGTCTGGTTAAAACGCGGTTTTGAAATTAAAAGGTTGCTTCGTCTGTCAATGAAGTATTACCTAACCGGGTTTTTAGTGAGGGAACCGAAACACGTGTGCTCAACAAATCCGTTTAACCAAAACAATTTTGTTGGGTTAACTAAACCACGTCAAGTAAGTGTGCTGACTCGGTCAAATTTCATGACCTAGTCTAACAAAAATTATGCAATTTATTGGTGGGTTTGATTTTTTGAACCGGTCGGTTTATTTAAGTTAATTGAATAGCTGAAGCAAAACCATACAAGAATTTCTTGGAAAGTGGTTAAGGCTAGGATGAATATGATGTATTGAAATTAGGCAAAGTGGAAGATTTTAGAATTCATATTAGTCGCCGGGGACAATTAAGACACAGGTTTGAATTCGTCGATGTCCATTTCTAATATTTTAATGCTAAGTTTCTTGTGGTGTTGATATATAATAATCTTTTGTCTATCCATTTGGTAGTTTTTTTTTGTTTCTTCTCCATTTTGTCTTTGAAGTAATAGTTTTGGAATTGGACAGAATTAAAATTAACAGGTAAAAACTGAACCAAAACAAACCTGTTTATATCGTATAAACCTGTTTTTTTTGGGTCAACAACCACCTATATTATGCAAATTTATACGCTAATGGTGACGTACGACAGCACTAAATGTCATCCGGCCTGTCCCGGTCCAAAGTTTAATATTAAACCGATTAGTTAATTTTTTAGAACTGAAATATTTTTTAACTTGTTTATTTATTAGATAAAAAAAAGGGAGACTCACAAAAATGCCCCTTTTTCAATACCCCTTTTCAAAAATGCCCCCTTTGGATGTCCATTTTTAAAAATACCCCTTTTATGTACAAAATGACTAAATTACCCTTCTTTTAATAAAAAATATCATAAATATATAAGGAAATATAACAAAATTAGGTCCACAAAATACAAAATATTTTTTGGCGGGAAAATTGCTCCCCCAATTTTTCCCGCCAAAACACTTGTAAAAATTTGTAAAACCTTTAAAATACCTTGTAAAATTTTCCCGTAAAATTTTTTCCCGCCAAAAAATTTTCCCGCCAAAAAATTTTTTTTGCGGGAAAAGTGATTCCGCAATTTTTTTGGCGTTAAATTTTTGGCGGGAAAATTTTTCCCGCCAAAAATTTACAAGGTATTTTAAAAGTTTTTTACAAGGTATTTATAAGGTTTTACAATGTATTTTAAAAGGTTTTACAACGTATTTACAAGGTATTTATAAGATATTATAAGATTTTACAAGCTATTTTATAAGGTTTTTACAAGTTATAAGGTTTTACAAGTTTTTTATAAGGTTTTACAAGTTATAAATACCTTATAATACCTTAAAGTACCTTGTAAAACCTTTTAAAATACATTGTAAAACCTTACAAAACACTTGTAAATACCTTGTAAAAAACCTTTAAAATACCTTGTAAATTTTTCCCGCCAAAAATTTTCCCGCCAAAAAAATTTCGCAAAAGAAATTGCGGAATCACTTTTCCCGCAAAAAAAATTTTTTGGCGGGAAAATTTTTTGGCGGGAAAAATTTTTACGGGAAAATTTTACAAGGTTTTTTAAAGGTTTTTACAAGTATTTTGGCGGGAAAATTGCGGGATCACTTTTCCCGCCAAAAAATATTTTGTATTTTGTGGACCTAATTTTGTTTCAAATAAGGGTAAAATGGTCATTAAAAATTAAAAGAGGGCAAACTTAAAAATGGACTCTCAAAGGGGGCATTTTTGAAAAGGGGTATTGAAAAAGGGGCATTTTTAACAATTTCTCTAAAAAAAATTATATTGGGTTTCAAATTTAGTCATGATAGAGATACATATGAAATGTATCGATCGGATTAACCTAATTCTATTGATTTTTTTTTCATACTTATTCCCAAAAATAAAATACGGATCCTTAGTACAAAGATAAACGCCAAAATAAAATATGTTAATAAATTCGAAAAAATATTTGTATTTTTTATTACTATATTAAACTATTAATCTAGTTTATTGGATTTTAATCACCCTAAAACCCATCACCCAATCTTAAACCATTTGATCGATTCCAATTCCACCGACACGCGAAGGAGACGAAGACGCAGCGATGGGAAAAACTTCGGGAGCGAAACAGGCGACAGTGGTGGTCGCAGCGTTGGCGTTAGGATGGTTAGCCATAGAGATCGCTTTCAAGCCTTTCCTCGACACATTCCGTTCCTCAATCGACAAATCTGACCCGTCCAAAGACCCCGATGACTTCGACACCGCCGCTAAGGCAACCACATCCAAAGAGAGTTTATAAAATTAGGGTTTTGTCAGATTAAAGAGATTTGCTGAATTCAATCCATATATGTTCCAATTTCATGTAATTGATGGACCCGAAGCACTTTCTTTTGAGTCATGATCGTTGTTTCACTAGTCAGTTTTTGGAAAATTCTGCTATATTGAATCTATTATTATTGTTCAATCGCATAACGAGAAGGCCTTAATCTAACCAATACTCTCATACATGTTTTGTTATACAGTTTCGTATTTGTATAAAGTTTCGAGCTGAATTATTAAGGTGGAAGAAGAAGAAACTATGAATCCAGTAAGGACTTAAATTGTTTTTAAGGTATGATTTGATAACACATTTCTTCATAAGATATCAAACTTGTTAATTACAAGATTGCTTTAGATTGGTAATCTTATTATAGATAAAGCATCTTAACGAAATAAGTAAAGGACGACGACTGACTTTATCATATAAGAAAACACCAAGAAAATTTACTTGTAGTCTCTAATGGAAGACTTAGTTAGAAGTTAGAACTGACAGTTCATTGTTTGAATATTTATTCCACAATTCAGGAAAAATATCAAAACCTGAAAATTACATGATAATTGCTTCAGATGGTAGCTAGCTTTTCAATGATTATTGCCCGATTAGATATTTTCATTGACATTTAGGATTCAGAAGATTTCTTTCATCATTATCAGTTTGTTTATTGCAAGAGTTTTTCAATACATTTATCTTCATCGGTGAAAGTCTATATCTTGAAAGTCATGGTGAGATCAACTTACAAGACTTATATGGGCCAAATTGTATGACTATCATGTTAAAGCTGAAAGCAATTGGTTCCTTTACAAGCTATGCCAAAACAAAATTCAATGTCTCAGTCGAACGTATAGGCTGATTTCTCTGTAATTTCCATGAAAGATAGATAAACTCTTACCACAATTCACTGCATATCAAAAGTTGTCAATTTATGCTCAAGTCTAAACCATTCAGGTTACACAGTATATCAAATGCTTTGATTCGCATTTTCTTTTACTATATTTTGTCCACTACACACAATGATTAAAAAATGAGAATGGACCTATCTTTCAGAGCATTTATTTATTAGTATTATTTTATAAAATTATTATGTTTTAAAGAAAGAGACTTTGAAGAAGACGACTTAGCAAAGACCAAAACCAAGAAATTACATAGGAACAAGCCAAGAAGGTACTTACAGAATTTATTTTGCTTGTAATATATTACAACCTCTGAAACATCATCTTTCTTGCAAACTCTACTCGATCTCCAATCATGGAAGATTGTCGATTCGAGACGAGTGAGTTACAAGCGTCGTTGATGATGTCGACACCGTTATTTACCGATTCTTGGAGTTCATGCAACGCCGCCAATTGCGATGGCAGTATAAAGATCCAGCTCATCGCCGGAATTACGTACGTTGCTATACCGGCGGTGCCGATGATTCAGTTGGGGGATCTTGTGGGCTTGCCAGTCGCCGGAGATTTTCTTTTCCCCGGCTTATCCTCCGATGAGCATCTGCCTATGGTCGACGCTGCCATACTTAATCTCTTTTTTCAATTAAAGGTTTGTTTTCTCTTCCTCTGTTTTTTTTTTTTAATTGGATGCAATTTAACCTATTTATTATCTTCAAGACATTTGGATATTTGGTGTTCAATTAATACCTACCTTTACATAAAAATATAAATTCATTAAATGCTATTATGGGAAATTCTTTCACAAATGAAATTTTTTAAAGACTAAAATTCCATATCAATTAGTAGATTTATTCGCTTGGATTTGCGAATAACGGATTTTACTTACTAAATTAACTTTACGTATTAGTACCTTTTTAGTAGAACAAAAGATGGCAGCACCATTACTGTTTTTTTATTTAGAAATCTCAGTCTTCTGAATTTTGATGAATTATTATAATAGGCAATAGACAATAGAAAAATAAATAAATATTATTTTCTCATAAGAAAGCCTAAAAAGATTCGTGGATACAATTATTCCAAATCCACCATTTAGAATATTTAATTGTCGTGACCTTTGGGCTTTGGATATCATAAGCAAGTCAATTGAATTTTGGTTGTATGCCATCACGTCCGCCCGCCCAAGTGATTTTAAAATTTACTAATTGGTGAGTGAAATGTCATTGGTATTTTTGACACGACAAAAAAAATGTTAATGGAATTGGTAGCTTTACGCTTTATGCTTTAACACACCTTGGCGAAGTTTTTAAATGTGCGCTTACAATGTTTTTAACCCCATGGTTATTGCGTCAGCATCATGTTTTTTTTCTTCCCGTTTTTCAGCGAATACTTTTAGTTTTTGTTTTGTCTCTAAGGATATGAAGTTCTTTCTTGGTTTTAATATGAAGTATCTTGAATAAAAACATGGGATTATTGTTGATTTTGCCCTTTTTTACCAAAATCTTTTGAAAATGCCATTTTTGCAAAAATCTTATGGATTTGTCATTTTTTAACACTTAAAAATGTACGTATTTCGGATTTTTTTTGGTAAAAATACGTAGTTTATACAAAATACTAAACCCTAAGAACAACCACAACCGACTAAACCCAAACATAACGAATAAAACGCATGTTTCCATAGCCTGAAAAAAGGTAAAATCCATAAACTATTCAAAAAATGGCAAAATCCACAAATGCCATCACAAAAAATGGTAAATCCATAATTGATTCTAAAAACATCCGTTCCTATTGTTATTTATAGCAAAACTAGAACTGACCATAAACGGAGATATAAGTTATGAAAATAGTAAATCTAAAGGGGTGTCTTAACTGGTTTTTTATTCGATTTTGGTTAAACCAAGTAATTGGCAAATTAGTCTCTAAATCAGTTTACATTATTAGAGGAAATTGTTCAATCAAAAGGAAGGTCATCTTTAATCAGTTTGGTACTTGTTAATCTTGATTAGTCAACCGATTTACCGTGATGGCATTAACGTGCAGATCAAGGAAGTATTGGAATTGGAATTGGTAGGAAGAAAGCTGGTGGTGATAACCGGCCATTCAACCGGCGGCGCAGTGGCCGCTCTCACCGCACTTTGGCTTCTATCTCAAACTTCTCTGCCGTCATTCCGCGTTTTTTGCATCACCTTTGGCTCTCCTCTGCTCGGAAACCAATCTCTCTCTACCTCAATTTCACGATCACGTTTAGCACATAACTTCTGCCACGTGGTTTCCATCCACGACCTCATTCCTAGAAGCAGCAATGAACAATTCTGGCCCTTTGGAACTTTTCTCTTCTGTTCCGACAATGGAGGTGTCTGTCTAGACAACGCTGATTCTGTTCGTCGGATGTTTCATATCCTCAACGCCACGGGAACTCCAAACATCGAGGAACATCAGAGGTACGGACACTATGTGTTCACACTTTCTCACATGTTTCTTAAATCTAGAAGCTTTCTTGGTGGGAATATCCCCGACAATAGCTACCAAGCTTGTGTTGCGTTAGCCGTTGAAGCTCTAGGTTTCTCTAATGATGACACAAGTGGTGTATTAGTCAAGGAATGTATAGAAACAGCTACAAGAATTGTTCGGGCTCCGATTCTGAGGTCAGCCGCATTAGCCAATGATCTTGCTAGTGTCTTGCCAGCAAGACTTGAGATTCAATGGTACAAAGATCGTTGCGACGCATCAGAAGAGGAGCTCGGTTACTACGATTTCTTCAAACGATATTCGTTGAAACGAGACTTTAAGGTGAACATGAGTCGCATAAGACTAGCTCAGTTTTGGGACAAAGTGGTTGAAATGGTGGAGACGAATGAGTTACCTTTTGATTTTCATCTAGGAAAGAAATGGGTTTACGCGTCTCAATTTTATCAACTCTTAGCCGAGCCACTCGACATTGCGAATTTCTACAAAAACAGAGATATAAAGAGTGGTGGACATTACTTGGATCAGGGGAATAGACCTAAAAGGTATGAGGTGATTGATAAATGGCAGAAAGGAGTTGCAAAGCCCGAGAAGTGTGAGAGAAGCATATACACGAGCACTACGCAAGATACTTGCTTTTGGGCTAAGCTTGAAGAAGTAAAAGAGTGTTTGGATGAGGTGATAAAAGAGAGTAGTGATGCGCAGAGGCGATCTTTGTTATGGGAAAAGATTGTTCGGTTTGAGAGATATGCGAATACATTGGTGAAGAAGAAGGAGGTTTCTAAGGATGTTAAGGCGAAGAATTCGAGTTATAGTGTGTGGGTGGAAAATCTGAGAGAGTTCAAGGTCAAAATGGGTTATGTAAATGAAATTGAGATGGTTGATGAGAGTGACGCAATGGAGACTTCGTAGGATTAATAGCAAATCTAATGTTTGATATATGCTATATAACAATCTGTATCATTGTTGTTCATCATGTTTATGCAAAAGACTTTCTGTTCTATTTTAAAACAATAATTATCATTAATGTTCAACAAGTTTCTGCAAGAGTTTCTTTTTTTGTGCAACCTGCAAGAGTTTCTAATGTAAATTTATTACTCTAAAAGCAACATTAGTGTGATGGTGATCTAATTTCTGCATATAGTATAAGGTAAGCTAAATTTCAGGAAATTTTGTAACAAATATATAGAAAAACGTAAGACTGCCAATATTCACATGATCCAAGAAGCTCTTTTCCCCATTCAGATTATCCTTTCCAAGCCCCCTTTTTCTGTGGGTAAATAATCAAATAAATTGAAGTCAAAGTAGACAAATAGAGACAGTCCTTGTTCTTCAAAACTTGTGCTTTCTTGTTTCACCTTCTCGTTCCATAGTTTCTATTCACAGACGATCGTTACGCATACCTTACATATATACCATTTTCATACTATATAATATGACTATCTATGATCCGTTATCTACAAGTTCTGTTTCTTAACGACTCTGGCCAAATCTTCACCGTCCTCGAGAATTTTATGCGAACAGAAAATGTTGCATTAATATAGATAACTCATTGTTTACTTTTTTTTTTAAAACAAAGTAATATATAGTTAATTTTACATTCTATTAAAGATAGACATATAGTAATCGTGCAGCGTCCATTAACTAAGCCGTACAAATAGCGCAATGTACACCCAATAACCCATCTCTCCAAAGAGGCCATAGGCTTCTTAGTTCGCTTCGAAACAATCTCCAAGAAGATCTATTTTCTTATTCATATCTTATGCTAAAAAACAAATACTAGTATTTAAAATATTTATCAAAGATTCAAACCCTTAACCCTGTCTCCCCCAAGAAGCAACAGTGAGTGCAACCTTACGAGGCATTTGCTCCCCAACACTTCCTCCACTTTCCAGCCTCCACGTGTCTCACCCTCTCCACATGCACTAACTCTCACACACACATTCATGCATGCGTATATAATACATTCTTAATCTGAGAGAGTAAGGAAGAGAGAGATATGGAGAGAGCAGAGGCCTTGACGTCATCGTTTATATGGCGGCCAAACGCAAACGCAAACACGGAGATAACGCCGAGTTGTCCAAGATGTGGATCCTCCAACACAAAGTTCTGTTACTACAACAACTATAGCCTAACTCAGCCTCGCTACTTTTGCAAAGGCTGCCGCAGATATTGGACCAAAGGTGGCTCCCTCCGCAATGTTCCTGTAGGTGGTGGCTGTCGCAAATCCCGCCGCCCCAAATCCTCCTCTGGTAACAACGCTAAAACCGGCCTAACCGCTAATTCTGGCAGCTCTGGTGGTGGTTCACCAAGTATAGATCTTGCTCTTGTTTACGCCAATTTCTTGAATCCAAAGACTGATGAATCTATACTACAAGAAAACTGCGATTTAGCTACAGTCACTACGGATTTTCTAGTTGATAATCCTACTGGCACTTCCATGGACCCTTCATGGAGTATGGACATCAATGATGGTCATCATCATGATCATTACAATAATCAGGTGGAACACATTGTGGAGGAATGTGGTTATAATGGCTTGCCTCCATTTCCTGGTGAAGAGCTTCTCTCTTTAGACACTAATGGTGTTTGGTCTGATGCTTTGTTGATTGGCCATAACCACGTAGATGTTGGTGTGACTCCGGCTCAGGCTGTACACGACCCGGTGGTTCATTTCGCTGATGAATCCAATGATTCCACCAACCTCTTGTTTGGAAGTTGGAGCCCTTTTGATTTCACGGCCGATGGATGATACTTATATTTGCATATAAATTTATGAATTTGTGTTATTGTACCTATCATACAAATGATATACACAATTATATGAAATCTTATAGATCATTTCATGTAATTAAGAAACTCGATAATTTAAGTACAAATTTAAGGGGTAACATGTATACGCTATATAGGATCATTATTTATTTTGGTTATTCAGTCGTTTTCAAGATTTCCTCAAGAATCACACGTGGAGGTCCTTGTCTTTGGATTCGATTGGGATTTGCTTCGTTACTTGAACTTGCACAATTCAGAGAAAGTGAGACGCACGTGTATCACGGGTGCACGTGTGAGAGCCTGTTAGTATCTCTGGCCTATGTGTTAGTGTGTAGATCCTTCTCCAAAAAGGGAGTGTCAGAGAAAGAGCATATTTGTTCCTACTTTTCTTTCAACTCCTTTCTACATGAAAAAAGACAAAATAAAAAAAGACTACACGTACGAACACATATATATATGCTGATATCAGTGATATGCATATATACAAATGTATTAACAATTGCATATCTTAGAGATATATGTGTACATAAGTACATTTATATTGATAAAATCAGATAATCTTATGAGATTAACATGTGATATATCACAAGAGTTGTTTTTTTTTTTGGGTTACGGATTTATAAATACAAGTTAGGCCGTTTACATGCGAAACCCAATTCTCTATGAATTAGAAATTTTCTTAGCTCTAAGAGCATCTCCAATGTCCATCTCTACATTTTCCTCTATTTTAGAGAAAATTCTATTTAAGAGGGATACATTAGAGTAAAATCTCCTCTGAGCAAAATCTCCTCTAAAATAGAGTTACTCTAAAATAGAAGAGAGAGACAATGTATGTAGAGTTTCTCTAAAATAGAGGAAAATATAGAGATGGACATTGGAGATGCTCTAAGCCTTGTATTCCTATTCATATTGACAACTGTTAGCGGTAAACCAAAAAAAATGATCTCTCAAGAACGAAGATAGACCCTCGCTACCATAACACCGCCACTGCAACAACATTTTAATGTCACAGTTCGTTGTGTCTAATTTTCTCAAAAGTTTAATAATTACATAATGTAGTTACTCCCTCCGTTTTAGTTTAGTTGTCGTTTTAGGACTTAAATTTTGTTTCGTAATAGTTGTCGTTTTAGGTTTTCAATGCAAATGTTTGGTGAAAATTTCAGTATTATCCCTATTGTTTTAATGTTTTGGCCAATGAAAAAATTTATAAGATATATTAATAAAGGATAAAACAGAAAATTTAATGCTTTCCTTAATTTGTGTGAGAAAACCTTAAACGACAACTAAAACGAAACGGAGGAAGTATAAAATTGTGTAAATATTACGGAAGCCTTCTTTTTGGTCAGAGTAATAGGAAACCTAAAAGATAATTAAATTGTCAAAAAGGAAAAAACGAGAATACTATAGATTTGGTGAACTAGAATGGAGGAAATTACGCAACTTGAGTTCAGAGGTAGGCAAAGAAGTTAACTTGGAAAGTTGTTTATCATCGAACTTCGTGTCACACACGTTCCCATAAATCTCCGCTTGATCCAAGAAATATAGTAAAGTATTACTATAGAAAACAGTTGTGCATTTGTAATTTGTTAAATTATTTTTTGAATTGCTTAGAACGAAATGGGTGGTGGATAATTTCGAACTACAGTATTCTGTATATAGATCTTAAACACTGCTCTTAGAGCATGATTATTGGTAGTATCTTAGAAATAAATTTTAAGAATATTTAAGTAATATATTTGTAAAAGTGATAGTTAAGATATAGTATTTTTGGGTTAAGATTTTTGTGTGATTAATGGTAGGTTCTTAACATGTGGTTCTTAGAAAAAAAAAATTAATACAAAAATAAAATTTATAATTATAGAAAATTTAATAATTGTTGCAAATTAAAAAAAATTAAAACATACATGAAATACAATTTATATGAAACACGCAATTCCATCTCATTTCTCCTCTCAATTCGTCGGATCAACAGCCTCAGAGCAGGATTTCGCCGTTTTGGTTTCGAGGAAAAGAGAGAGAGAGAGAAAGGTCGAGAGGGAAATAAAAAAAACGAAAGGTTTTTTTTTTGGCTTTGTTGTTTCTTCAAATTAATCAGAGCAAGACACGTGCTCATATCTAAAACTCATCAACAACATCTTAAATAAGATATACATCTTAGCATTTGATTGAACTATTCATTAAATTTAATAATTTTTTCCCCTAAGATATGTCTAAGATACCTCCTATAATCCTGCTCTTAGACTCTGATAAAGTAATTCAACCAGAACTGAAGATTTAATGTATCAATCATATATCAGGAAGGAAAGTTAAATACTGAGAGATATACTACGCATGACTTAGTTTATTGTATGCTTGTGAAGATAGCTGAAAAAAATCTCACAAAAAACACTGCGTATGTGATTTGGCTATGGGCCAGTTCGTTGTTGTTGAAACAGAGTTCCATAAGGCTTTTAGGTAGAACTAGGGATTCGTCATTAACAGACCAAGGACTTGTGTTGTCTAAATATGTAAAAAAAAAACTGCTTAAAGGATTTCTTGTAGTAAAGGTTTTGTCACTTGAAGATATCAAATCGTGATAACTATGGGGTATTTTTCAAGAATGTTAGCCTCATTATAGAGTGGAGTCTGATTGATCAGTTTTCGCACTAGTTCTTTTTATAAGACTGCAAGTGAAGAGAGCAACGAGAACCAATGACCCCAAAACAGGATTACGACATTCTTTGCTTTTCATGGTTATTGATTCCAATAAGCAAAGAATTATCCGAAAGACGTGACGGCTCAAAGATACATAAGATTAAGGAAAAATGGGAAAATTTGTATCTAAACAACTCTTTATAACTTATTTTTGTTTAATTTTTACGCAATGAGGTTTTTCGGTTTGTAATCATCTTTGTATGAAACTAATTATCCCTGTGATCAACCATAAATTATTAAACGCATCTTAGATAATTTCTCGGTTCCAAACCACAAGAGCAATTCATTGTTTTTTTATGTATGCTAATTGCATGCTCCAAACTGAACAATTTAATGTATTTTGTTATATATTAATGATTAAATAATTAATTGGTTAAACGAACTTTTAATTTAAATCCTAAAATATGAAGTTAATTTCAACAAAAAAAAATTATGTTTTGGCATGAAATAAGTTTTTTTTTTTTTTTTTGATAAAACTGAAATAAGCTTTGAAAAAACAAAGCAAAAATGGGGATCGAGTCAAACGTAACCACCGCCATGTAATCCAAGTCTTCGTGTCGACTTAACGTCCTTGTACATTTGAACATTACATGAAATCGAATTCAATAAATTAAAAGTTCTTAACCATACATTATACACTAGTCCTTCACGTTCACATTTATATGTGAACCTACTACATACACCATCAAAGAGATAAGTGCTTTTGTGGATGTATGTCACGCGCATGTATTTTCAAAACATTTAATTGAAAAACTTTGTCAACTGTGGATATTCTCTCCATAACGTTTTAACTACAACTGCAAGTTGTGGTCGAGCTAGGCTGGACCAATTTCGTAGTTTTTAACTCTTATTTAGATTACGACATGGTTGCTCGTAAGATCTGACTTTTAAATTCATGACAATTATTATATTCAACTAAGAATAACTATTCTTTAAAATATATACAAGTCCCTGATATATATAATGTGATATAGCCAAATAAAGTGAGAATGACGGTCAATACTCAGCTGCTGTTTTTAATTTTTCCTAATCGGGTCTAACTTTTTTTGGTGCTTAAATTATTCAGGATAACTGAAAAGATGTCACAATTTTTGTTTTTAACTAGGAAAACACTGTAACTGGACCACCACGGTTACTGCTCATGTGTGTTACACACTTTTATTCAATCTTAACATATGTTGTTGTTTTTTATGAGTACGTCAACTTTCTTCTAATATAGTATCCGATATTGAATGGTTTTCTCTTCTTCATTTTATATGTTTTGCATGTTTTCAAATTTATTTGTATCAAGTAACTGCGTAACTATATTTTGAAAGAATATGAAGACAAAAGATTTATTGTTGGAAGAATAAATTTTAATGTAATCCAAATGAATTTGATTTGAGGGATTATATTATTTATGTAAAACCTCAGGAATTTATATTGGACTTATATATAGACCGAAAATAATAATAAATTTCTCACGTAAAACGACAGTACTGTACTCATGTTCCCACCAAGACCATGTTCCCTGATTGCTAGAACCGAGGTGTGTAGATCATACAGAGATTCTTGCTATATAAAATTGCAATTACGTGCTTTGGATTCCTATATTCGTCTCCAAAAACAGAAATTTCTGAATGCAAAGATTATTTTGAAAACATTTTCTTAAGTTTGTATATTCATTATTTCAGCTTTCTTTGCCTTTGAAGTTTGATCTATGATCGATCTACCGATTATAAAATGTCTATATAATACTATAGATCAATTGTTAAATTAAACGCATGCAAAGAGTTTTCGTTAACAGTTTTACCAAGTTTAATATAAAATAATTTTAACCTGAATGATGATCTGAAAAATAAAAATGATTTCAGTATTCACGATGTGAGTGATGAATACATACAGAAGCACATAGTATGAAGGATTTTTGGTATCTACGAAATCAGAAAACAAATCTTAATTAAGAATTTCTTGAAATGGAAACTCATCGCCGAATGAAAGCATGACACATGTCATCGATGTATGGAATATATAAATCAATAGTGGGATAATGGGATTAGAGATATAAGAGATGTAGAACGTATACCGACATAACATAATTACATTCGCAATGTTACTTCCACTGGCACCAATTAAATGGTCAGAAAAGTTACACATGACGCATACAAATCTCTAAAGTAATGGTTTCATTATATATAAAAAAGGGTAGTGGTTTTAGCAAAACTATGATGTAACCTTTTAGGTTATCCACTCAATAAAAACAAGAAGTTGAAAGAGATGTTCTCTATTTATATATTGTGAGAAATGAACAAAAAGAATATAAATAAGGAGCCTTTAACAATTATGAATAAGCAAGTGGGATAAAATAGCCATGTAACCTGTGAATCCATTTATTTCTTTGCAGTTTCTCATAATTTCATGAAAATATATCCACTATTATCTACACATGATAATGACCATTTGAAAGATATAACAAAAACAAAAGAAAATCTGAGTTTGAGCAAAAATTAAACCACTCTTTTTTGTTTTTAAATGAACTTATACGAAGAGAAGAATAACTCTCAAAGAATTTTTGTCACTGATGAGAATTAATCAAACATGTACGTTCTATCTTGCTGGGTCAAGCAGGATACGAATCATACAAATTTCTTGGGACACAAGGTGATTCCCTCCAAACCCTAGCGTGAAGCTTAAGCAATTCCTTCGCCTTTTCTTTAGTCTTGTTCCCACAGCTAACTTGAAGAACCAGACACAGCTTTGCTACAACTCCCAATTGCAACATCTCCTGCAACAAAGAGGGTGTCGCACAGAACCTCCCAACCAAAAGCAAAACCCTAACCGCCCTTTCACTAGTTATCTGTGAGACCCTCAATATCTTCTTAGACACAACCGCAATAGCCGCACCATGATTCAAGAACTCAGCTCTTCCTTCTGCGCACTGACATAACATATCAAGAACAACCATCGCCATCTCCGAATTTCTTCGCTCAGATGAGAAAGTATCGTCCATTAAAAGCTCGATTATCATCGAAATTGCTCCAGCTTCCACTGCCTTGTGTCTATTCCTTCCCCATGGACATGTAATCACCAAGATTTGCATTGCTGATCTTGTCGCCTTGTGAGAGATCTGGTCGTGCAAGATCTGAACCACCTCGGCGAAAAGTTCTCGTTCCAACAATATGATCTGCATTGGATCCGCAACTTCTAGGAGCTTCTTGAGAAGCAAAGCCGCATAGGCTCTTGACTCGTAGATCCCACGTTGCATAATCTTCGTCAACGTTTTGACAAGATTTGTTCCTTTCTTGTTGTTTAAAAGACTCTTGAGGGCTGTCTCCGATGTGTCAAGATGGTAGAGTACGCTTAGGGCTTCGTCCATCAAGCTTCTTGAAGAATCAAATCGATTCTCCAACATGTTTGACTGACACATGTCGTTGTAATTCGAAGAAGAAAGCGAAGAAGAAGGAGAACTATACGTATCAACGGAGTTGCTTACGATATTTGCCAAAAACTCCGGAACTTCTGCGGCTTCTAAGCACCGTTTGTTCGTCGTATTCTCCGATACTATTTGACGAAGTCGTTTGAGGCATTTGACTTGGTTTAGATGCGAAGTTGACGAATCTTTGATAAGCTTTTCGATCTCGGATTTACAGATCGGAGGTTTTGGGGTTGGGATCCTCTCGATACCGTATGATGCGTTAAGAGTACACCAAGATTGGATCAGACGGCGAAGAGTGTGGTTTGGGGTAAGATCGGTTTCGGTTATGACTTGTTTGGTGACCGGACATGAGTTTTTCTTTCCGGAAAAGAGCCATTTCTCGATGCTTTCTCTGTCGTAGGTTATTCCGGTGGAAACTATCACCGGATCTTTCATGATATCTAGAGAGATCGGACAAACGAAGAAGGAAGGAATCTCTATCTCTTGATCCATTTGACCCGCCCGAAAATATGAAAAAAGAAGAAGTAAGACTTAATGAATAGAAACGACGAACGAATCTCAACAAAAGAAAATGTTGCCTCAAAGTGTATTCGTTGAGATTTAGGAGCTATGTGAATTGGTTTGAATAAGTTAGCAAGAAGAGAGATGAAGAGTTGAGTCTTTAAATATAAAGGGATAGAGGAAATATTCAGAATAATTACAAAAGTCAAAACAAGGAAAATACAAGTATTGTTAAACTCTTTTTGGATAGCTGTCGCTATTTATTTATTATTGTATACTTTTTTATTAGAACGAACGAGGAACGTTATATATAGATTTGACTTTTTTTTCTTTTTTTGGGTGGTGTAACAAAAAGAAACTAAAAATAATAAATGCGTTTCATTATATAAAAAAAAGTGAGACGTATGAAGAGTGTTGACTTGTCAAAAGAGATGCGATAACGGCGAAGAAAGTGTAAAAAGTAACGAAGTCATTGGTGATTGGTTGTGGCGGTGTTGAAGACAAATAGATTGTCTCCTTTGTGTCTCTTTTCACTCACATGCCACAATTGCCGATTCCTCCTCTTTTTTTTTGCCATGTCCTGTTGACTTTTTATTTTTTGAATTTTACTACAAAAATTGGCATGCTTATTTCAAAACTATACTTAATAGTATTACTGTAAATCAACCGAAAGGTAGAAGAAGATTTTTGGGTTTTTTGGTTTGTCAACAAAAAGAAGATTACTGTTTTGGTACCGACAAAACCTACAAATGCCATTAATGGTCCGTTGTTGGATTTGTACATTGTTTTAGGATGCAACTTTTATGACACGTTTCGACCCATACTCCCTTGGTATGCTCTACTTTTGTTTAGGCGCTTCCACAATATTTTGAATATTGATTTTTTTCATTAATTTTTCCTTTATTTTCACATATACGTTGGCTTTGATCTTAGTGCCAATGGATATGTCTATCATCTATTGGCAAATGCATACACCATATTAGTTTTTTTTTTTTTTTTTTTGCTTTTGGTTATCAATGAAGTTTTGTTATTCTTTTGAGTCTGATATCTCTTTTGGTCAGTTACATGCGCTTAATTCTTATAAATTGACGTCCCTTTTAAACGAGAATCAAACTAATTAAATCTCCAATAACATAAATTCTTAGAGGATTATAGAAAACGCAACTAGTTCAAAACTCACTTGGTGGAACCATGCATATAAGATATATCTCACAAAACTTATGAATGCGGACTAAATTTCAAGTTTTTTTTTTTTTTTTTTTTTACTAAATTTCAAGTTGCTCTAGGCAACGTAGATTTTACATAATGCTTTCAGGGATGTCCGCAAGTTTTATTATTTTTTGTCAAAATGTTGAGATATGTTAGTGGTAAAAGCATATAATCTCGTAAGACAATAACAAAAGTGGGACGTTTTGTTTCTGTGAGAAATCAACTTGCTAGATACCACTTGTGGGGCATTGATAGCTCAGTCTCTTCAAGTTGCTCCATCGCTCCCATTCATCGGGGATTTATTTTATAGGTACTTTTTAGATCGCTTTATCACTTCATACCTATGTTAATATTTGTTTCTAGCTCATTTGAGCTGATTATAGAAACTCGATCGTATTTTTATGATTTGAAAATTTGGTATTAATTGAAAACAGAATTATAGAACTGAAGTGAAATATTTCCATTTTATTGTTCAATTAAGATATTATTGGAATATAGAAATAAGTTAGGCAACTCTTGAGCACGACCCAGAATCATGACCAAGTTGCAACTATATATGCTACTTATCAGCAATATTCATTCAACCACAAAATAAGAATTTATCCAAATAGATAGATAATTGACTTCTATCTTGAGGATATATATTTATTTGGGTTGGGTTATGTACAATTAGCTCTTTCCCATTCTATGAGCGGCGGTCATATATTACAGCCAATTAATAAAATTTAAGCATATAAAGACATATACGTATGTTGACAGAATATAATATATAAGTACGTGTATACATTAATGTTGTGATCTAATTGATGTAGCCAATGAAAAAAAAAATTGATTTAATTGATTAGCTATTTCTTTGATTGAAGTCTAGAGGAGGATTTTATTTTATAAATGTCCATTAATTCCAATCAGTTATTTTAACCACACGCCGATTTGTTTTTAACCAAAAAAAAAAAGAATATTTATTTTGTAAAAAGAATTATGGTTCTGGTTACCCGTGAAATGAAAAAGAGAGTGTTAAACACCATTTCAAAATATTTGACTAATACATGATTTTGAGAATTTACATTCAGCCGTTTAAGGGGTTTTTTCAGTTTAAGTCCGACTATATTTTCTATTCGAAATTTTCTCATCATTTCCATTATGTGAGTGTTTTCAAATATGTAACGAGATACGTATCATTATTTAGTTATTTCGTGGTTATTTACTTGTAGATTATAAATATACTCTCTCCGTCCCACAAAGATGAAGGTTTTAGAATTTTCACATTCTTTAAGAAAAACGTTGGAATGACAATTTTAACCTCATAACACACTTTATATAATTTATATGTATATATATATTACTTGATTATTTTAAAATTAAATTGATGGTTTTAACTTTTAACACATACTCAAAAAAGATACGTGAACTATTTAATAATTTAATGAGTAGTTGAACATTTGTAATAAAGAAAGGAATGCAAAACGTCATGTACGTTTCCTATTTATTTGAAGATTCCACCGAGAAATCAATTGTGACACCATAAATTGTGATCTAAAATTTTATTTGGAGCCAAAATCAGAATAGCCAAAAAATAAAAAATTTAGAATGGAGCCAAAACGTAAAAGTCTCCGTGGCTATATATTGTTACAGAATTTTTTTTAACGGTGGAAAACACATTATCAATGACTTCTCATAATATTGATATAAATATACCAGTTATAAATAGTGGAAAAGAATACTCTTTTGACTTGAATCAAATAACAGTCTCACGAATTTGTATCATACTTTAATTAAGGGTATAATAGGTAATTTGTTTTGTATTTTACATTGGAAATATAAAACGTTTATCTTTGTGGGACAAATTTTTTTTCTAAAAACTTCATCTTTGTGGGACGGAGGGAGTATAAGTTAGTACGTTAATCAGTTTACTTTTTTTACTCAACAACATGAACATGATACAAATTAGTGGGCAATAAGAAATTCTGGTAATTTTTTATTCTGTAGTCCAATTTAACCTTCTTTAAGTTTACAAACCGAATATTAGGTATGCTTGATTAGTTAAATACTTCAATCCCACCAATAACGTAAATATTAACTTGCGGATCAGGACGTTCATCTATCGAAAACAAATGTGAACACTTACCTGATCAAACTTTTTTTTTAGTATTTAACTAATTCCCACAAAACGGTCAAAAAATGACCAATACGTAAAGAAAACAAGCGGCCGTTTTAAAATTAGTTATTAAAAATGACTTTGTCTATGTGCCAAAAACCAAAAACGTTTTAAATTAAAGAAAACAATGACTTGTCTATCTTTTGAAAAAATGTAAGATAAGTACTATACTTTTGGTCAATCTAGACGTGTAACCATGGATATGGGCCAATAGTAAAAAAAAAAAACATTGCAGAGATCAATACAACAACATTAAGTCAACTAGATATTACCAGTACAATTTATTTTAATTTGAATACTGTATATTGAAACCGATAATGTAGTTTATTACTATGTCAAGTTGGGGAATGGAAAGCATGGTCTTGCACTCTCTTGCTATATGTTGATTTGTTCTATATAATTTGAGCATATTGGATAGTCGGATACAAGTTGATAAGTAATTCAAGTCTTAAGACCCGTATGGGTGTGGATGGGTCCGATATGATAGGTTAATTTACCACCACGTTGGTATATGTCAAAATAGTATTTATATAAGGAATTAAAATAGGAATGAGTAGCGTAGAGATGAATTATATTGAACTGGGACCAAAAATTGGTAATGAAGGGTGTACAACTAAAACTAATAAAAATTGGTCAGAAAATAGACAGCTTCATACAGGCTACCACATGCCACATGGGATTAGATTGAATATAAAGAAATGTTGGACCTCACATTATTGGCTATTCTACATCTTCTTGGCCTCATAACCAGTTTCTTTTTTATTTTTATAATTTTTCTGTGTTAATTGTTTCAATCAATCAAAAAAAAACTAGGCGTTGAACTAGCAAATTCTAGCGTTGACAATTTTTTATTTTTATTTAGTATATTCTAGCAAGAGTTAATCATTAACCTTACTACTACTGTGAGATCGGGGTATACAACGATTGCGTCTTTGAGATTCGGAAATGTGTTGTTGACTTGTTGTAAACCAACTAACACAAAAGAACAAAATGGTCTTATTCTTTTTTTTTTTCTTCACCAAACAAAATGGTCTTCTACAAGGCCCATTTAAGGCCTTTTGATATTTTGAATAAGTACTGAGGCCGAATCTCCTCAATGGAATATGATAACGGACGAATCAATACGTACGTATTCACAATCTTGATTATTTGGTAACGGACGCAGAAGATTAGTAATTAAGAACACAAACTAGGTTCAAGAGGATCAATGCCGAGGACTACGAACAATACGTTTAGATATTAGTTTTTCTTCATCACAAAAGCCCAATTTTGTTTTTTTTTCTATGTGAAGCTTCTCATAAGTATTGTTTCTTGTTCTGTAAGTTACATAGATTCCACTGTTCTTGTAATAATATGGACACATGTAGGCCTAGACACATGCTTTTCATTAAAACACATAACTTTTTTTTGCTAAGTATGTTAATATCATATAAATGAAAAGTTTGGTTTTACATGGAGATAAACCTAGTCAATTGGTTTCTTGGCAAAAAAGCTAAAAACAAGAAAGCAATAGATTACAAAGTTGGGATTGTGTCAAAGTTCAGTGGATCCAAAAACTCATAAGTGCAGTGAAACGCTTACAAGTGCGCCGGGCAATGATGGAGTTCTTGATCTCTCTGTCGATTTTCTTGAATACCGTAGATGGCCGGATGCAAGAGTCATTGTGTAGGATATTGTTGCGCTGCTTCCATATGGCATAAATCATAGATTGGGCAACAAGCTTCCTAAGAGTGGGTGGTGACCTGTCATTTTTCCTTCTTGTCCAAGCCATAAGTGCAGTCCAAGAAGCAAAGCTGGTGTTAGGCAGA